GTCTTTGGGCGCGTGCGCGGCGCGGTCTTTGGGCGCGGTGCGGTTCCTGGGCGCGGGCGCGGTCTCCTGCCAGGTGTTGTTCCTTTTAAAATTAGCGTAATCATTTCAGATATAGCTCCAGGGACAAGTTTTCCCAAATAAGGAATAAACTCTGAGCAGTCTGTATTGCTGGTTTGTTAGCACAATATGGAGTATAACAACTCCAGATGACACTAGCTATGACTGACTAGTTAATAGAGTAGCCAGATAAATATCCAAAATTATTAATTATCAACATCAAACCTGAAACAGAAATAAATTGGAAGATCATTAGCGTAAAAAATAAGTTTAAATTCTAAGGAATTCTGCAGAAATCCACAAATACTAGATTTTTGTCAAATAGTACATGCAAATATCAATAGAGAAAGAGGGTATCCCTGCCTGGTGCATTTCTCAATTGAATTGAAAATCACTCCAACTTTTGGGGTTGAATATAAATTTTAAACCATTTTTGAAATTCTGCAGGAAAACTAAAATTTCCTAATGAAGCAAAAATAAATTTCTGGTAATTTTTATCAAAGGCCCTCTTCATATCCAGAATACAACCAATCTAAGATTACCAGCCCTTTGGAATTAGGATTGTGTATTTTTGTTCTTCTATTATTTCCCACCAGCGTGTGGGGAGGCTATTTCTGTCTGGAGATCTTGGCTGCTTCAGTGGTAGGATATCCTACTACACAATGTACGATTTACATACATATGATATGCTTTTTATAATTATGTATCCTGGTCTCCTAAGAATAGAAATGTTGGACTGGAACATCTGTATTCAAAACCTGAATGCTGTTACTCAAAAGTTAATCTGCTTGTTCTAGAATGCCTTTTCCCAAGTCAACAGTCTGCTTATCAGATACATGCAATGTGGGGTCAAAAAGGCAGTTTAAATTACCAAAATGACAATTGTGGGTAGTAATTGCTACCCAACTTGACAGTTTCGATTGGAAAGCATGCCTCTGGTGCCTGGCCCACTACAGATAACAGAGAACACTAGAATATCCTTAGTGGCAAATAACTTTTCTACAGTTTCTCATGCATACCAGTATTTGAGTGTGTTATTCTTAAATAGAGTTTCATTCATAAACCCGGAGACTCTTCCTTCCTTCCTTCCTTCAACATCCATCCATCCATCCATCCATTTATAGGCCGCCTATAACTGCCGAGGCCTTCCTAGGAGTGGGGTGGCATATAAGAAATGAATGAATAAATAAATATTTTGTTTTCTTTTAACCTCCTTATCTTGATCATTGCAAATACCTAATTGAGAAGACCGAGCTATATATGTCCTGCAGCATGTTAAAGATAGTTTAACATGCAAAAGTTTGTTTAGCAAGCAATATTGGTGTGGCATAATGATTATAGTGTTGTAGTGGAACTTAGGAGATCTGATTCTAGTTCTCACTCATCTATGACGTAAGGCCTGTCAATATCTCTCAGCCTCCCTTCCTCACAGGATAAAATGGAGAGAAGACACAATGGATTCCTTGCAAGAGGGAAAATAGGGGAGATAGAAATATACTAACATAAACATTGTATAATTCTGCTTTGGGTTGCTTTGTTTTACATAATTCTGTGGCTGAAGCGGAGGTGAATAATGGAAGCCAGCCTAGTGCTATGTAGAGAGCTGAGGAAAGGGAGCCATTTACGGGAGAATATTATTATCAAAGTCACTGATCCCATGAGACAGCTAGATCAGCACACAGAAATGGTGGGTGGAGATTTACTGAGTAATTACTTTCTGTATGGCAGCAGTCCAGCCCCAGATGCAGTTTTTTTACATGTGCCACATTCCATTAGTACAGATGGATAGATGCAAAAGGCAGCCATCAGCAGAAGCTCTGAAAGCCTTTCCTGAGTAAGGCACAGGTGCTTCTGTCCTTCCTGTAAACAAGGCTGTATACTCCTTGTAACGTAAACAGTTCTGATACCAGTATAAGAAGGTACCATCAATGCAAGTAGGAAAAGTCACTGTTAAACATGGAGAAATCGTCTCATGACCATGAGTGAATCTGGAGACTAGATTTTAGATAGAAAACAATAGTTCCTCTATGCTGTACTATTTGAGCAACTTCATTCTTTGACCGTTTGCTTTCCTAATGGTATTGGCATTTACTGTGAGTGTGTGAAATAAGTACAGCAGTGATATCTGAAAATGTATATGCCTTCTTACAGTGTTTACATTTGTAGGATGGTAGCTATTACGTGATGTGTATTGGAGAAGGCTCTGACTACTGTTTGTAGTTTTGATCCTCCAGAGAATGAGGAGGTTTGCATGATCACTGCAGCTTAAACAGACCATAGTGCATGCTGGCTGCTGTTTGCCTAATTACCTGCCTGGGAATACCTTGTTATGTCATCTGAAACTGGACAACATGGCTTGTTTGAGCAGGAAACAACCCTCAAATAACACAGCAACAGGCCATGAGTTAGATGAGGGTTGTTTTCCTCTCAAACAAGCCATGTTTCCTGGGTTCCAGTGATGTGACAAGCTGCATCCAGGTGAGTAATTATGAGAATGGCAACTGGCATCTACTGCAGCATCAACAAGTGGTTTGTTTAATCTGTGATGTGAATTTCATTGTGAATTTGTTCACCAGACTGACTGTAGGTTCTACTTCATATCTGCTGTTCAGAATTAAGTATGCCACACTGATCAAGTCAGTTGCTTCTACTTGAATGTTTGCAGCTATTGTGAGGGTGTGTCTTGTAATTATGTACCCTGAAATTTGGGATTTTTTTTCTTCTAGGGCACAGTCTTTAGTTTGGAATCTGAGGAGGAAGAATACCATGGAATCATTGCCGAAGACAGCAATGACATCTACATTTTAACTAGTGACAATTCAGGCCAGGTGAGCCCTCCAGAGTCACCCACAGTGACCACATCTTGGCAGTCAGAGAGCTTGCCTGTGTCTTTATCAGCTAGTCAGAGTTGGCATACAGAGAGCTTACCTGTATCTTTGGGCCCTGAGTCGTGGCAACAAGTGGCTATGGATCCAGAAGAAGTGAAGAGTTTGGACAGTAATGGAGGTGGGGAAGAAAGGAGTGAAAATAATTCTTCTAACTCGGATATTGTACATGTTGAGAAGGAAGAGATTCCCGAAGGGGTTGAGGAAACAGTGTCAGAAGTGCATATGGAAGCTGATATGGCAAAGGTGGTTTCCCAGGAAGCACCAACAGAATTGCTGAAGGTGGAGTCAGAAGCTGAAGTTGCATCAGTTAAAAAGCAAAGCTCTTCTGCACCTTCACTTACGGAACACCAGAAAGAGGGAAAAGCACTGGAGATGCCAGAACCTTTAGTCCTGAGTAAACCTGCCATGCAGTTAATTCCTGAAGAAGCAAAGGCTGCCCCCATCCCGGAGAGAATACCATTTCCAGAAGAAGAAATCAAAGCAGGAAAGGAGAGCTATTCTGAAGAAAAAGAAGGTTCCCCTGGCAGAGAAGAGAAATCCATCCTCTTACCAGAAGGCAAATCCATTCTGCTCTATGGTGGGGCAGCTGCTGTGGCCATCCTGGCTGTGGCAGTGGGTGTAGCATTGGCCTTGCGGAAGAAGTAGAGAACTGCAAGGAGTAGCGCCTGATCCACTCTTAGTTGCATTGACTGGGGGTTGTGGTGCCTGCTGTTAATGGAAATTCGTGTAACTTAAAGGGTGGTGGGGCAGTGGACACTGTATGGCTAAGCCTAGGGACAATCATGTTTTTAATGGACTTGAGACTGGATCTTCCTGTTTAACATATAGGGGTATCATTTTGAAAACCTCAGCACATTTAATTATCCAAGTACAATGGAGAAATGTGTGGGGGAGTGCTTATACACTGGAAACTGGAACTGAAAATTCCAGGGGAATGGGAGAATTGGTAGGTAACCCCTGGAGGTTTCCCTGCAGCACAAGGCTGATCTCCCTTTTGTCTCTGCTTCCTCAGGTACTGCACTGCACCCTGTGATCCCCCAGTTTCCTTTTAAACCTCGAGGGGTAGTGCTTATTTAATACCTCTTTGCTTTATATAATTTTGCTCCCCAAACTCTTTGGTTAATTAAATTCTCCAAGCTCTGTAATGTTGGATCAAGAAAGCAATAGGCTCTCTTGTAGGGGTGAAAATATAATATAGCTTGGTTAAATGTGATGTTCTTTGATCACCAATGGATATTTGTCACTTTGGTGATTCTTCCCTGCACCCCCTCAAATCATCCTGCTTTAGTTCTCAAAGATGAACACTCCTTTCATTTTGATGAATGCAAATGAAGATGGCAATACTTATACCCAACAATTATAAGCAGAACCATAAGATGAGGAGTTGACCTCACACCACTTGTGAAATACAAATTGAAGAATCCATTTTGCCCATCTCTGTTTTGTTTTTCCACATGTTCAGGAATGGAATACATGTAGCCTTAAATGGATGGACTCTGCCAGTGACTAATGAGCCAAATGCAAGTCTTAAATGCACACTAATTCAAGTGGTTTGACCTGAACTACATTATGCTGTACTTTTAAATGGTTTGTCTGGTTCCTGGCCATAGAATAAAATCCTTGCATAGCTCAGATAATTGCTTTATGCCAATTTTAAAAAACTAAACAGCTGTAATTGGGTTCAGAGTCATGAGGCGGGGTTGTGTGTATTGACAATGATTTTAAATGTTAAGGCACTCCTTATGTATTCCAAATCTGTTTAGTGGAAACGCTCCTGTTCTTCAGGGGATTGGCGTAGTCCATGTCTTGGCTACTGATGTACTGAAAATACTTGGTCAAAGTGAAAACCACAAAATCTTTTCCCAAAGCGGTTTTAAAACTCATAGGCTGCACTCTAGTAGACACAATGTCTTCTAGCCACTCCCCCGAAGTAACCTATGAAATTATGCTGATTTTTTCCCTCAATTCCTGGTATTCTAATCTGGGTATGATGACTCAACACAGCCATCAGTTACCTAGTAATATATTGCTCTTTAGGAAAGTGAACATGTATTGATTATCTCTTGTCCCTTGCCATAGCTGCCTTTTCTGGTTACCTTCTGTAGATCAGATAATCAGGAAATTCTTAAGCTTATCTTCAATTTGAAAAGCTGTTCCAGCTTTCCATTCATGTAAATATAATAAGAACCATTTGAAAGTATTGTATGTATGTTCATCATGTGGCAAAGGTGATTTTTTTCTTCCAGTGCTTGTATAAAAACTGTTCTTGGAACAATGACTTGGCAACAGTGTCTCTTATGATGATCTGTGTTGAATCTCCATTGCTTCTAAGTACTTTGCCCTTATTGATAATTGATAATTTGCCCTTTGATTTGTTTTAGGCATTTGCTCATAGATTGCATACACTCTTTTCCCACAGGTAGTGTCTCATACTGGTACCAGCTAGGAAACTGTTGCGAATGCCCTCACTATATAAATGACTCAAGTATAGGTAGGTGATTTTAAGTAGATGCAACTTAATGGGAAGAAAAACAAACTCCCAGGATTTTTTGAACTTTAGCCCCATAAAGGTCTTTTAAATGCATTCCCTTTCCAAAAATTCAAATTCATTATTACTGGTTTAATATTGTAGTACTTGTCTCTAAAAATTATTCTTAATTTCTGGCTTCATCGCTTAGCGTGGTTTTTATTTGCATTTAATAGACTTGATTTTCTCACTTTGCATTCCCATTTCGCATAAAATGGACTTTCGTAGCTATAAGGGTTGCTTGATGTTTTGGTGACATCTGAGAATCTCTGGTGATGGTAACTGTAGTCAGCACGAGCTCTAGCGCTGCAGCGAAGACAAGAGCTTGGTCCTAATGACTGTGGGCATGAGAAAATATCCCTCCTTTTAAATTCCTTGAGAACTGACATTTCCCTCACAAAGCAAGCTTTAAGTTGTAAGGGCCACCCGATGAACATCTCCTGGTAGCAAACTTGATTGTACTATTGGATGTACATTTGTCAGGGAGCAACTGCCGGTCCTATTTATTTTCCTTGTGAGTGTGCATGTAGGGCGCAATTATTTGCCAGTGTGTATGTACAAACACATTGCTGTATGTGACTTGGCCCTTAGCGATATGAGAATCTTTGCTCTGAGTCATCAGAATGGAAACTTGGGCACGGGGGCTGGGAGCTCCTGGCCAGATGACTTGCAGTGCGTTCCTTAGTACTGTGCATTGTCCCTTTTTCAGACTAAAGTGCCTCAGCGTGTTCCAGTGGGCTTTAACTGTTTTCCTTCTCTGTCTTTGCTTGCTTTTGTCGCTATTGCCCAAAAGTACTCTCCAGCTGTAGTTTTAAAGAAGTTTTGCAAAACGAGGTAGACTCCCATGCTGGAGGAACTGAAATACACAATTGCTTTGTGGTTTAATATAAGCATTATTACAACAGTTTCTCCTGCAGCTACTAGCTGCAACTTCTCTAGCCTAATGTTGTTCCCAGCAGTTTGGGTTCCTGTTGTTCAGAGATGCCACTCTTATTGACCAACTGCAACATTAAGAATAGATTAGAAAGGTGTGTAGCCATTAGTGGACTTGAGAGGTTGAACATAGACATTGCTCACCATGCTTGGACATTTAAAAAGCCCTCTCCTTCATTGCATAACCTCTTAAACTGTCCAGTCTGTGAAATAAACTACTGAGTTCTACAGGCTATGAAATAAGCAACTTTTCTGGTCTTCTCTGTTAGGAGTATTGGCACTACCAAATTCTTTTGGTTTACTAGGCATTGTAACTTATGGTGGAGAAATGGAACATGTAGTAAGTAGCTGCCACACATGTGCCTGGTTTGTCTATTTTGAAGCCATGGGTCTTGCCTCTACATGCTAGTCATGTATTCACAAGACAGAGAGACATAGTGGAGAACTGCAAAACAATCATTGTTTCATCCATTACTTGCATCTGTCTTCAAAATGATAAGAGAGAACATTCAATTATATAGAACTGTGAATTGTTGCTTTTAACCCTTGTTCAGTTACAACAAACATACTTTCCAGAGTTCTGGATTATGGCTAGGTATCAGGAAAAATTTCCTGATTATTGGAGCAGTATGACAATAGAACCAGTTACCCTGGGAGTTTGTGGGCTCTCCTACATGAGAGGCATTCAAGATGCAGCTGGATAGCCAACTAAGAATGGTTTAACTTAGTATCCTGCACTGAGCAGGGGGTTGCACCTGATGACCCTCTGGCTCCTTTCAACTCTGCTATTCTATGACTTCAGCAAATACTTTCTCTGAAAGAATATTAAGGCTTTGCAATGGAGTGGGGCTTGACTTACCATTTCTGATAGAAAATTAAGCCTGTATTTAGTTTGTTCAAATTGATTTGTATTCTTAGGCAGGTCATGCAACTGATGCTTTGAACCAATGTTATATTTCACAACTTTTCCTGAAGTAGCATTAGGGAAAGGCTTGTTTGGTAGAATTTACAGCAAATGTTCTATACTCTGCCAATCATACTTCTCAGGGTTTCTTTTCATAAAGTACAGACACAGTCTGCAGTATGCATTTGATTTTTTTTTGGAGCAACAAACTTTAAACTGTATACTCTGCAAAAAGCTATCTGGGATGAATCATGAACGTATCTTCTGTAGCATTAGTAACATGGAGACAATAGCATAGCCATGTAAATGGAGTTGCAGAAATGCTACTTGCCATTTTGCTACCTAGAAGTTGCTCTTTGTATTACCCATGATTCTTTCTTTTTTGCATTTGAACACCAAAAATTTTTGATGCAGCCATATGGATGTATTATTCCAACTACAGAGGCAGTTCTTTCCAATATCTCCACTTGGCAGAAATACTTGGGGGAAGTTGTCATACAACAGAAACGTAATAGCTTTCCTTCCCACTAACTGCCCTTCTCCCTTAATTCCGAGTGGCTATTTTGGAGGGCTTTAGGCTGCTTCAGTAGATAGGCTGTACTTTCTCATTAATAAACAAGAGTTGATGCAGACAGTCACCACTGGAAAACCTTTTTCCTATGCAGGTAAAATACATAGCAAGGATAATATTAAAATGCCCTGCAGCAATTCTCTTTTTAAGCAGTCTTGAGGAGTTTGGATGTCAGAGCTACAGCAGCCAACAGGTGCCTGATGCTGTAAAACCAATTCTAATGCCCCTATACATTGCAAGGATTGCTTCCTACCTGAAGGATCTTCAACAGCAATAGCTGGTGCATAGTGACAGCTAAAGTTCAACCCAAGCTCTTTAAATAAGGAAAAGTGTGAGCCTCATGGTTGATGTTTTCCTCAAAAGCTGGAAACCAGAGTAGCTTATTACCCATTCCTGCATTGATCTTTGATGTTTCTTTGTTGCAAAGCCACTTACTTAGCTGCTTTGGCAGTGGCAAGCAAAGCTTGGAGGGAAAGGGAGTTCCTTTCCCACTAACAGTTGATATACTTTGCCAAGGCTTGGCAAACGGCTAGGTGAACAATTTTTGGGATGTGTAGGTTTTCTAAGGGCTATTGCCATTGCAGTAGCTTTTAGGATAACAATGATTTTGAGACTGAGCTTCCAGCAAGGCAGTGAGGAGGGGTGAAAAGAGAGGTCTAACCTTTCCTTTCCCTCAAGCTGCTTCAATTCTTCCAGACAGATGGGTTTGCTTGAATTAGATACAAAATCCAAATTCACATGGAGAGATTATAATAGTTTGGATGAATACTACTCCCTTCAACTCCCCTTCTTTATAAGGATGGAATTGAAACATCAGCTGCATCACTAAGTGTTCTGAAGTATAATCCTTTGCAAGCTCAGAAGAAAGGTCCACCACTCTTGGGAGGCATTTTTTTGTCTCCACTTGCATAGGATTTGATTTCACCCCTACTCTTTAAACTGCAGGCTATATTTATGCAAGCTTACACCAAAGAAAGTTGTTGTTTTTTTTTAATCACACCTTGCTCTAGCAACACGCTATCAGGCACTGCTGATAGAATACATCATTTTTCCACTAGCACTTTATGGAAATAAGGAAAGATGACCACTTGGTTGCACACTAAATGCTATACTTAATGTGGTTTGAGATTGGATAGGTGATAAATGAAAGAGTGCAACAAACTATGGTTTATCCTATTACAGAGGCACAAAACAGTATAAATTACTAATGTACTAGCTGGTATTAATGCTTCTTTAATATTTTGCACCTACGTGTCATAAACATAAAACCAGTGGACTTTACTCAAATCAATATGCATTAGAGGACAATGTTTAAGTGTTTTGTGAAATTCTCCAAAAAGCAATTAGTAGATTTGCAACAATAGGCAACTTTTCAATCATTCAATAGTGACATGACATGCTGCAGCAGATTAACAAGTATTCAAGAAAATGCACTCATCCAGATCATTCTTTATGCAAGTATAGTACTTTTAGTAATGCTGTATTGAAGCCTCTTGTGCCATTTGATGAACTGAACAAAAATCCTGCTCCAGTGTTAAAGAGTTATTTTTAGCTCAAGCTCTTTATAAATCAAAGGACAGTATGTGTATTTTTCCCTCCATTGATGGGACTCTTGTAAGAACATGGTCCTAGCCTCAGTTGCACTTTTATTAAAAGCCAATTTTGAAAATACAGTGTGTTGACTTTTTAATAGTGAGAAAAGTGTGCTCTTTCTAGTTTTTTCCCTGCATGTATGCAGCACCAGGCTTGTACAATTCAGCCATGGAAATTGGCTGAGCAAACTACTGAAGGCCATGTTTTTTGCGAAACTTGAAACACAGCACTGCTGCTTTTTCAGTGAAATAGTAGCCTTTCTAGAATAAGTAGTATGGAAACCAAGCCATTGAGAATACTAGGTCTACCGTAGCTAGCACCAATTGCATTTTCTAAATTCTCTGGTTTAGGTCCCGGGTCAGTTACACATACAGAAGCAAACTCCGGGTTAATTAACCCACAGTCTACCATGCACAAGCAGAAGTGAATGAGCATGTGGCTTCCTGTTCATATTTCATTCGCTCTCAGTCAACCTGATTACCCATGTTGTAGTTTTTGGACATGTGAATACAAAGCACTGGGTTGCTTACGGGCTAAACCACTCTGAGTAACCTGTGGTTTTTCGTTGGATTGCTTACTCTGCTTGCTCAGTTAAAAAAAAATCCCTTCATTGCATACCCTCCTACACAGTGTGAATTCTACATCCTGTGAATAAACACGTTTTCTTGAGTTTTATACAAGGATATTGGAAATGTAGAATTCCGCCTGTTTATGAGGCAGTGTACTTTATGGAGGGGGAAATGGACATATGGTAAGCAATCAAACAGGTACCTTTTTGTGTATTTTCAGGCCTGTGACTTGTATTTACATGTTAATTGGTGAGGGAGGGGAAACGTAGGCAACTGTGATGTCTTTCATTTCAGTGTTTATCTAGTACTTGCACTGGTTTTCAAAATGATAAAAGAAAGCATTTGATGAAACATTAAATGACACAGAGCTTTAAACTGCAGCTTTTAATCATTACCCAATTACCATAGATTCTATTTTCTCAATTGTCTCTTAATTGTGAAACTGTCGAATTATTTTTCTTTTTGAACATTTCATTGAGGCTTTGCAACAGCTTTTTTTGTTTTCAGGTCCAGTCCAGATTCACTGGATGCGTACGGGATGGGTCTAATTGATGGCCTGACTAAATATAGGATAAGCTCTTCTTTTCCCCATAAACTCATAATACCCTTCAAGAAGTTTTAAAAGATGAACAGTAATACCTGATTCTGTAGTCCAAGCAGAACCCAGGATTATCCAACAACTGCAGGGACTCAGTAAAAGCAAGCAACAGGCACGTTTAACTTTTAAGACTTGAGAAATTGCAACTTAAGAGTTAAGGAAACAACTTGAGCTGCTGATGATAGTCTTCCTGCCACTAAGGAACAGTCAGGTAGTTACAGGACTCATCTCAGAGCTGCCTGCAAGATGAACTGGTACGAAGAACCTCTTCAAAGCTGGCAATCCTGCTGCAGCAGTCTGCTTCTCTTTTATACCTCCGATGAACAAATCTTTACACACATTAGTGCTTTACCTGGGCTGACAGTTCCACTTCTGCTAGCATACTCCACCGGACAAATTAAAGCTGGTGTTATAATCAAGTATATCCAGTTCAATTGGGTCACATTGTTCAGGTTTAGTAGTTTCCTGAATGTTCTGACACAGCATGCCTTCAAATCTGTTATTAACTTCAATTCATCTTTGCATGAAGATGTGACTCTCAAAACTACAACCCTGAGAAAAAGTCAATGTCTCATTGTCATCCTGAGATGACCGCAGAAGAGGAGCAAGTATTTCAAGTAGAAAAAGGTAACCAGGTAATGCACATTAAAGCATGAGAAGCCACTAAATTCTATTATTTATAAAAACTACAAGCAGCAGTTGATGGGGAATATTAAAAAAAAACAAAAAGTAAAAAACCTAAGGGGAAGGTCCTTCGTTCAAATCTAGGAGAGAAATGAGAGAGAGAATTAGTTATGCTTAACAGTATTCCACCATTCCCTTTATTTCCCTTTGGATCAGAGGTACTGAATTTCTTCAAGCCTGAAAGCCAAATTCCAGTGGTGGTGGGGCAAAGAGGATGGGGGTGAAGTACCAAAAACACCTTCATATTTTAGCTTAATGCCCTTACTGAGCATTGAAGCATTTCAACTTTTTAGAATGGAGGCGAGGGTAGGGGGAAGGAGACAAAAGTCAAGAAACCATTGGAAAAAACCTGGTAGTTGAGGGGGGTCAGGCGATGGAGCCAATCTGTCTAGGAGGGCTAATTAGGTTCTTGAGGACCAGTGGAAGCAGTGTACTGGCTGCTCAGCACCACCTGTGTCTACCTTTAATCACTAGCCTACAATCAGTTTGTTGGGTCTTTGAACATGACAGGCTAAACAAGGGAGCAGTTCGCTCAACTACAACCCGCAGATTAACTACTGTGTTGTTTAACTCCTAGCCAACTCAGCACTCTGGGTCAACAATCAGTGTTGAATGAACTGATCACAGGTTAAGTAAAACTGCAAGAAGTTGGTGAGCGGAGGGCGGCATGTCTCTCTCACTGAAGCATGGCAAACCATGGCTCACTTGAAATTATGGGTTGCAACTGAATGCAAACTGGGTCATCATCCAGGTAGGGATTGGGCCCACTTCTCCCCAAAATACAATATTCCATGGTAGAAGTTTCAGACTCTGGCCTAGACCAAGAATGGTGTGAATTTATCAATCCAGTGGTTTGCCAGTACTTAAATGGTCCTTTCATTTGCCTTAACATCTAGTGTTTCCACCCTCTGTCCCACAAGCAGTACGAACCTCCCTGAGGATAGACTCAACTTCATTTGGTAAAGGAATGGGGAGGGAATCCAATTTGGAAACAACAACTGGTGTGGAAAAGAACTAACAAAATAATTAAAGGGTTCATTAACTTGATGGATGCTTCTTGTTAACAACTTTTATATTATTCTGCATGACAAAGCCAGCCCTGATAGGTCAGCCTAATTCAGTAAAAGATTGTAGCTAGAAGCCCTGCACCTGGGAAGGGGGAGAGTTGTTTCACGACCATTTACATGTTGCATTCTAATTATTTCATTTTAATCACCTCATGTTCCAAGTTGTTCACATAATCACCAAGGTGGAGGTTGATATAATTCACAGTCACATGAAATACTTGCTGTAGAACAGCTGGCACTTTGTTTGCTACATGTTTGGCCAAAAACATTGCTGCCACCAACATGGCCCTCTCCTGCTCCATATCCGAAGGCATCCTCCGCATGAGCTCCTGTACCGCTTGAGAAAGGTGCCTGGTTATCTCCTAAAGAAGCAGAAGAAAACAAAACATCTCCAATATACAGCCCTTAAACCAGGCACAAGTATAACAAATAACCACCCAGCACAAAACATTCAGTTGACCTATCAAAATATTTTAAAGGAATAGTCAATTATTTTTTAGTCTATACATAATAAACAGCAGCCATTGATACTAAAAATGTGATTTAATTTTTAAATACAACAGGGTTTTAATAATGATGAAAACAATCACAAGTTTAGGTAAATGGTACTTGTCCTAAAACTTGCATACAGTATATTAACTTTTAACATCAAAAGAATCTGTAAAAAATAATTTTAGACTATCAATAAGTCTAAAATAGACCTATTTATAGCTAGAATACCTCTGTAGCTCTATAGACTGGAGCAACCAAGAACCAATCGTTTGCTACTGAACGTTCTCTCATGATGACTTACATGCTTAATATGTTGTTTGTAGTTCCTCTCTGTGTTGAAACCATCCCAGGAATGTGCCCAATATTTTTTTTCTGGCCAAGTTCCAAGGGGCCTGGGGTCCTATGGTAGGAAGCACCGCCTAACCTGTGCCTGACCACATGCTAGAGCAGCATGTTGAAGCAGCGCATGAGTATCCTTGGCAGCCTGGTTTGTTTTCAGAACCTCTCCCCGATCACTTCTCAGAAGCACAGCTTTTGCAAAGCATAGCTGGCTGCTTAGTTCAAGCAATCTGAAGTCCAAAGCAGAGTTTCTTTTTATACCCTGAGGGTCAAGCTAGTGATTCCCTTTTAAAATCCATGCTGAGTCTGCCCACCCAAAGCCCTTTGATACTCCTAACCTGAATTGTGCGACTACACTTGGGACCAGCTGAGCAGTGCACTTTTGGATTGTTGGATGAGTGGATGATGGTAAACAATATTGCCAACTAATGGTCCAAAATATCTGGAGTAGGACTTTATTCCAGCCCTTTACAAAATAATTCATAGCAAAACTCAGTATCCTGTTATGTCAATTACATAAAAAGTTGTTTTTTTAATCCCCCCTGATTCCAATCTTATGTTCTTCAGCCTCAACAACAAAGTTGAAGCAACTGTCTAATCCTATTTATGCCTGGGATAGGAAGAAGGGAAAGGATGCTTCAAAGGATACTATAAAAATCATATGAGGTTATGCGAATGCAAGATCTCCCTCATAATGGAGAGGAAACCCTCCAGTTTCATCTTCACGCACTTTCAATTCCACTCTTCTCTCACCTTTTTGGGCACACTGTCTTCCAGGAATTGCTGTGCCAGATTGTTTGCGAATGAAGGGTCAATTTCAGCAGCCAGCCTGTCCCCAATTGCAGCCAGCTGGGCTCCGATAGCCCGAAACACGTCTTCATCCACTGTGATTGGGAGGTGGGAATGGGAAAATAGAGTTAAGCAGAATGGTTAACCTGCTTACCTGGCAAGTCAGCATTTATTTATTTTTCGATTTATATCCTGCCTTTTTCCTACAAAGGGCTCAAGGCAGCTTACATCATCTCTTCTCCTCCATCTTATCCCCACAACAACAACCCTGTGAGGTAGGTTGGGCTGAGAGTCTGTGACTGGCCCAAAGGCACACAGTTGGCTCCATGGCTGAGTGGGGACTAGAACCCAGATCGTCTGAGTCCCAGTCCCGTGCTCTTAACCACTACACCACACTGGCTCTCTAACTTTCCAACACCCAACTGAGGAGAAAGATGGCAGCATGCACGATTTGACACTGGTGATGTGACCCAGCACTGCGTGGTGGTTTATGTGCTGGATTTAGGGTGCCAGTCTTGGGAAAGTACACCATTTGCTCCCTAACTTTAGGTCAGCCACTGTCTTTCAGCCTGTCTTGCCTCATAGGGTTGTTACAAGGGAAAAAATGGGTGCAGAAACTTTGCTACTGTAAGTTCCTTGCAAGAAAGACAAGATGAAAACGTACCTACAAGTAAAAATAAAAATATATGTATGATCACAATCAGCCAAACCTGAACGAACACCTCACTCTCCCTTGACAACAGAATTCATAGTACTTCTTTGATATTGTCTCTCTCCCCTGCTCTCTGTCTCACATACAGCTGTCATGGTCGGATCTAGATTTAGTTGTCCACGACTGAACTGGTGAAAGTCGGCTCCCCCTACTCTCCACAGCAGCTGCTCCAGCTCCCCATAACTCCAAACAAAGGGTCAGTGCCCCTGCTGAATGGTCCTCTAATGCTCCGGCAGGCAGGGGGAGGTGGGATTCCTCCCCCCCCCCCCCCCCCCCCCAAAAAACAGGCACATACACCTTCCATGAGCAAAAGGCAGATTTAGTGAAGGATTTAAATAACAGCAAGCAGCCACTGCAAGTATCTGCTTAAGCTGCCCCATGAACCATTTGCATCCGAATAGCACTCACTAACATCAGCTTCCCAACTGATCTAAAAAGGAGAAAAGGGGATCTCTAGGGTATGCAGCTTAGCACTGGTGTAAAGGGACTTCTGGAAACCTGCAGAAACTCCAGTCACACTAGGCGTTAGGTAGCTGTTCTCTATTTTGTAAGCTGTCCTGAGCACTTGAAGTGATAGGACGGGGTAGAAATGCATGTAATAAATAAATAAGCACATTCAGGGGAGGGGGTAGGAGGACTGTAGCCACACCCCACACCCCCGGCTGCATGCCAAGGCCGCATGCCCTTGCCACACACCTGCACCTTCAGCATCAGTCTGAAGGGGGCTGATTCAGGTGTTCATGTGTTCCTGTGTTCAGGTGTTCCTACATAGGGCTCCCGCCATGCCGATGGGAACTCCACTTTCTTCTACATCAAGTGCTGCAAAATGGGAGATTGAAGACAACGGTTACCTGGTTGCTCATCCTGGATCCTCCCAAACCTGTTGCCATCTGTCTGAAGCTCCCCGTCATCGTCACTTGGAAAGTCTGGCTCCAAAACCAACAGCTGTTTCTCTAAAGCACAAAGCTGTTTCGCAAAAGCACAGTTGGTAGACTTCTCTAGGAAGGCGTACAGGAGGATATTGGTGCTGTGGTAATGCCTCTTGTCACACTGCATGGGCTGGGGGAACGACAAAAGTCATTCAAATGTGAGCCAAAGTCCTGAATTCAGGAAGCGCATATAATTCGAGCAAACAAGGTTGGGGTTCTGCAAGATTGAAGAGGTGTAAAAATAAACACCGACTTTGCTTTGAACTAACTTACTTTAAAAAGCCCAGGTCAGTTTCACCCCAGTGCATGAAATCTTTGTTCTAGTGGCCACTGTGGTTTAGCTTTATGTCTAAACCCGGTCAGTATCTACTATATATTGTGACGGTATGAAACTGAAGACTGAGCACTCCAGAAAATTACTTTTTATGTAAATATCTGAAAGTGTCTAGCTCTTAAAATAAAAATGCAAATACAGATGCTCCAAAGCCAGACTATAGCTAAGTAGGGTTTCTAGTGGTCAAGCGGAAGGACGACTTCCGTGTCATTATGCAAAACTTTGATATTTTTTTTCCAATGCTGCTTTTGCTTCTTCCATTCACCCTCATAAGAATCTACACTGTTACCAACATTCACACATTGCAAATAGCAAGGCTTTAGCATGGTCTATTCTGAGTGCACCAGGCATCTTACACCTTTGACTTCTCTCTGTCAGTCACATCAGCATAGTCAAAGCTACCTTCTATGAAAAGGCAACTTGGCAAGAGTAAGCATCTACAGTGAGTCTGCAAAAAAATGTTGCAGCATGCATACCTGCTCAGGACTCCAGCCCCACCCCACCCCGCCGATCCTTTTACCTTCCCCTGCTTTCAGTATTCCAAGATACTGTCCTCATTGGTCTGGTGTTCACAAGTTACTTCCCTTGGCATTGGATTACCTAAAAGATTTTTTTGTACTTCCCACAAGGTCATTAATACTTTTCTCAAATGTGTGGGTGTTGCAGTTTTAGCTATAACATGTATATGTACCTAAATATAGAATACATGAATATTTTATAATTCCACAATTAAAATACTCAGTATTTACCTACACTTACGCAGACATTATCAAAACTGGCTTCTATTCCAGACAGGGAGTATTTACAATGCCCTTCTCAAACACATTTTAACCACAATAGTTTTAATCAATGGGAAAATATTACAGCCCTATTATCTCACAAATTACAGCCCTATTATCTCAGAAGTAAAAGTATTAAGTGAACACTGAACTAATCAAGTTCTGAATAAAGGGAGGTGGCCACTGCATTAACAAAAATTCATTTGAAATAAGCTGGTAACTGTTTTGCTCAGTCAAGGTAGACAGAAAGAATGTCACAATACAGGTAAGAGAAGCAATGCTGGTGTTTCCCTGGTTAGTAATACTTAAATATACATATTTTAAGATCACTATTACTTAGTAGTTCAGAACTGGTTTCCTCTTTTCTTTGTTTGCAGTTTAAGTTATATAAGCGACCACTGGCAATGAGATTAATAAAAGATGTTTTAAGAAAACTTTTCCTGAACCAACACTAGGTGTATCTTCCAAAGTTAAACCCCTTATCAGCTTTGAAAGTAATTTTAGATACAACCTCATGCATTGCAGCTGCTGAAACAAGGCAACTGGGTTATCCGTACTCTTCAAAGATCAAAGGCGCTCTCCCTGTAAAAAGAGAATTAGAAATGAATCTTCGGACCCCTTTCATTCATATTCTCAGAGGGATTCAAGCTTACCAGCATACACAGAAGTAATTAAACCTATATGGCAATCATAGATAAACAGTTATCCAGTGAAATGGCTGATGGGCAGGGTGGGAGAGATCTAATTATAATCTAATTCTTATCAATGAAGCCCTTCCAAAGCTACCTCCACGCTGTGATCCTTGGGCTATAAAAGGAAGTCGCATTCACCAGGACAGATACTTTACAGTGTGAGGGCCAATTCAGTTTTCAGCATCAGTAGCTAAGTGCTTTTCTAAAGCTTTTGCTGCTTTCTGTCGCCCAGCATGGACAATTCTGTGCTAGGTGACTAAGGCACCCCATAGGAAAGAAGGGAAAGGCAGTAATGAACTCACCGTTACCACTGCCAATCAGGCACAGCGTGCTTTGTGATCTCCAAACCACTACACATTGGATTTGCCGATTTCTCTAATATATTGATATCCTGCTTTTTACATATAATCTCAATAGGATTAACATAATAAATGCAGTGTAACTATCAATGCAATCGCAGTAAAATAAATCCGGCATTTACAACAGCATTAAAAGCAGCACTAAAAGCAACTGGATAAAATCCGTAAATCTGGGAGTGGATCGGCCAGGAACCAAAGACCACTGCAAGACTGTAGCCCCTTTCTCCATGGGAGAAGCACCAGGGAAACCAGCCAGAGAAAGAGCAGCTGCTGGAGAGCTTGCTTTCCTCCTAGTCAGAGAATTCTTAGGCTTGGATCTTATGCATAAAAGTTAAAATGTTCTCTAACTCCTAATGTGCCCCAGTGAGCTTGGCTGGGCAAGGAATGCTGGAAGATACAGGGCTTTTTTTCTGTCTCGACACGCACAGGCTGCACCCGTATTAGAACTATGCAATAAAGAATTCATGGCTCACTTGCATTTTCCCTCCTCTTTCCTATTCTCTGATCCTTTTTCTGGGGGGAAGGGGGATCATTCCTTTAGGCTGTAAGACTGAGGTCAAGTATTGTCTTATCATGGCACTCCCCAGGCCACACCCATGAATAAGGGAGTTGTGATTACAAACCACAACACAGCACCCATTTCAGAGAAACCTACCGCGGGGAAAACCAACAAGAAATTCTAGGAAAGGCATGAGATGTCCAGCTGCATGCCCAGAGCTCCCTCTATGGGAACTGACAGGTACTGCTCTAGCAGAGTACAGCTATGTCAACCAGGTGCTCTCCACATGTACTTGCCCTCAATTCTCTAATCCTGCCAGCCAGGGAAACCTTGGCACAAACAAAGCGCAGGGTACAGGATGGCGAAGGACCATACACTTCCAAGTTAGATCTAAAGTTTGTATCATACCCACTTAATTCTCTGTTAAAATATTTTGGTGGGGAAAAAACTGAGCATTACTGATAACAAAATTTGTAAATAGAACCAGTGGGGTGTAGTGGTTACAGTGCTGAACTAGGACTAAGACATCTGGATTCTAGTCCCCACTCAGCCACAGAATGCAAGGCATTCATGTATTCTCAGCTTAATCTACTTCACAGGGTTGTTATGAGGATAAAAATCAACCTACCTCACAGGGTTGTTGTTGTGGGGATAAGATGGAGGAGGAGATGTAAGCTGCCTTGAGCCCTTTGTAGGAAAAAGGCAGGATATAAATTGAAAAAATAAATAAATAAAAAAATAAAAATGGGAGTGGAGAACTTTATAAGCTAACTTGCATTCCTCACAAGAGGAAGAAAGGCAAGATATAAATATGATATTAAAGAGGGGTAGAAACATTTCTGCTGTTATATTTTTGGGTGAATTTCTTTTAAAAGCATTATTTAATTAGCTGTTAATGAATGGATGGATCTATTCATTAATGAAACTATGCACTGCTTGATATCATAAAGCCTCTTTTATGTATTTTGTAAGGTTATTTTGTACTATCATGTGTAGATGCAACAATAATCAAAGTGGGACACTTCAAACTTGTAATTTATTTTTTACACATTACTGTTTCTAGGGCTTTTCACATGCTAAATTTTCATCAGTTTTGGTGCCTTTGTTTTCCCCCCTTAAATTTAACAATGTAAGGAAGGTCATGCTATCCAGCATTCATATCCAAAGCTATTTTGCAAGTCTTTTAATGAAACTAATTTTCAAGTAAAGCTATTGAGTCTTTTTAATCTAAAATTGCTTTTAATGCAATTCTAAGCAGGTTTACTCAGAAGTAACCCCCACTAGGGCTTAATTCCAGATGAGTGCACATAGGAGCCTCATATTGGCTTTACTGAAATTCTCCCCCTATTTGCATTCATCGGCTTTTAGTTATTAGAAAAACTTTTGTAGTTTTTGTACTATAAAGCTTACATGTATATAGACATGTTAAACAGAACCAGCCTTTTCCAATTCAAGATTCTACATCACTGAATAGAATTAAACTGGCAGCCTATCAGCAGAATTGGGGACAAGAAAGTTTTTGCAGCCAAACCTGTTTCCCTACATGTAGTACTTGTGCCACAGGTCTGGCACCCAATCAACAATGTTGTCCACTTTTAACGGCTGAGATTCATTAATGAACTAGGCAAGAGTCAGCACTGCCATTTTTATGTCCACTTGGTTTGGGAGTCCAGTTAAATAATAGGCACTAGAGCCTCCCAGATGACTAGACCCTTGGCAGCAGGCCATAAAAGAGATCCAGTTTGGGAATATTCTAATGACTGGGTAAGGCAGGGTTGCATACAAATTATGTAGAAAACCATGCTTTAAATTGTGTTTTAAATTGATGGATTGAAATCAAATCCATCCTGGTGCAGCGATCCTGTTTAAAGCATCCCTGATAGATTGCGATCCTGTCTTCGCTTGAATACCTCTGCTAACAGAGACCCCACCCCTACCACATCGCCATGCAGTTGGCTCCATTCTCTGACCTCTGAGAAGTTCTTCCTGATGTTCTGCCAAAATCTGCCTTCCTATAAATTAGCCCCTTGTTCTCTGTCTTGGATGACAGAGAACAGGTTCTACCCTCTTTTGTGTGGCAACCCTTTAGTCTGTCTTCTTTTTCCATATTCCCTTCCTTCACTCTTCCCTCACAGGTCTTTGTTTCTAGTTCCTGGAAACCACTGCTGCCATTCTCTGAACGCATTACAATTTATCTGAACCTTTTCTTAAAGTGTGTTGTCCAGAATTGGTCACAGAATTCGACCGGCATAGAGTAAAGCAGAGAACTTATAAAAACAACACTTCTGTTGATATGATTTAAAACTGTGTTTGCCTTTTTCACAGCTACATCGCATGACTGACTCCTTTTCAAAAATACTCTCCTTTGTATCTTTACATGAGAAGGAATCTCAGAAAATTACTGTTTTCTTTTTTATATTAGACAAATACGTATTCTTCCTTGTAAAAATTCTGAAACTAAGCAGACTGTAAAAAGAATCTGCCCCATACCCTCTTCCGTATGTCTTGCTGCCGGAGCAGTTTAAGCCCAGCAAGAGGAGCTGAGCCAAGACCAAACTGAAACTGGATATTAGGAAGTGCAGACACCCAACAATGAACTCCACTGAGGAAACCTCAGAGAAGTAGGAAGTCACCAGGACAGAACAAAACAAACCGTTTTACGCTGGGGTGGTTGGGGGACAACCACAGGAAAGAATTATCAGTCTGCGGTTCAAAGTCTTATTATGTTTGATCTTGGAAAGCAGTTTATGGGTATTACTCGACAAAGAAGAAAAGCCTAACACTTCATGCACAATGGGGTTAAAATTATGAAATCTGGCAATTATCCACTGATCCCCTACTAAAAACAAATCCATATCAACCCCAGTAAGAAATCACCCTGCACACAGTTGGTAGGAGAGGAACAAGAATGATTTGTTATGTTCCTTCAAATCATCTCTGATTTACAACGACCCTATTGAATGACGTCCTGATCCTTGAAAGCCCTGCTCAGTTCTAGCAAACTCAAGGTTTTATGGAATGGATTCATCTCATAATCGGTCTTTGCCGCCACCTTCTGTCTTTGCCTTTCCCTAGAATTATTGTCTGTTCCACCAAGTCTTACCTTCTCATGAGAGGGCTGAAGTTCACAAACTTCAATTTTGTCACTTTTACTCCCACTTGAACAAGTGGGTCCGAGATGAAAACATTTTTCTGTCGCTCCAGGGTATTTGTGAAACTTTACTCCAGCACTATGTTTCCAACTCGCCAATGGCCTTCCTGTCAGCCCGCTTCACTGCCCAGCTTTCACAGAAGATTAGAATATATTCATGCTATAAAACGTTTGTTCTCGTGTTAACCATCTATCTTTGATTATATGTAAACTGCACAGCCAGCGTGAACATAATTTCCTGCCAGAAATGGTGGTGCAGGTGTGTGAATGTATCTCAAGTGAAACAGAGTTCAGTGTGGTAGGAAGGGCATTAGCTACTGTATGCACTGCTACAGGCTTGACTGACAGGAGGGCACTGTGCCAAGGAGGTTGCAATCCACAGCCCAGGCCATGCATATCAATTTGAGGTTGGGGCTGAGACTTTATGGTGGTCCCCTCTGTCACAATGCAGCATTTAGATTAAGAAGCAGCACTCCCATTGCTCAACGTTCTCTGTTCTCTTCAGTGACCCACCCAAATTCCTTAGAAGAATTGGGGTGCTTGGCCTGGCACGTTTTGAGGCGCAAGTGCCAAGTGCAGAGCAGATAGGAGAGGAGGCTGAAGAATATACTGCAGGGTAAATGGAACAAGTTTTCCATTGTACAGAGTTGTATCCAAGTCCATACAAACTCACGTAAATCAGACTGCTCTAACAGAAGGGCCTTTTCACACAAGGCCAACAGCTTTAGAGTGCCCAATGGCCCTGGAAACCTCATGGATATAGTAACACTACTGTTCTAGAGGTCCCTCAGACAGATTCCCATCAGGGTTACTGTCAAGCTGGATGCTGTAGGAAGCACTTGTGTCGCTAATGCCATGGGTGTCTATAAGCTTTGGTCATGTTAAAGTGATCAAAGCATATCAAAGGTTCTGCTTTGTACAGCTTTGTGACACATAAGCAGGAGTGTGTTCAAAGTTTTTGCTAGCTACTGGGTGGCCCTGGACTCAGCCACTATTTCTCAGCCTAACCTACCATCTCTGAAAACAAAATGGTGGTAGGGAAATCTCTTCCAGAGCTTTTCTTGGGGAAGGTAGAATGGAAATTGTAATATATTAATATTAAAAAGCTAAAATTTGCAATGGACTTTGAAGGGAAGGATCATTTGGGGTACTCAGTTTTTAAGAGTAATTAAAAAAAAACCAACCCAATAGCTAACACAAGTCTCACTCTTAACAGGTTTAAAAAATGTGAGCTGGGAACTCCCTTGTTCAAATGCCCCACAGCTATCAATTCCCTGGTGACTCTAAACAAATTATACTCTCAGTCTCAACAGACTCACTTGAGAACATAGGGATAAATACCAATGACTTTATAGGTTGCTGATTAAGTGCACAAAATTGATAGGTATTTAATGTATGTTAGATTAGGATTATTTGCAGTATCTTGGCCTATCTGAATTTTTGCTGCTATTATAAGATTTTTAGGATCGCCCTTGCTAATATGAAAATGCTAACTTCTCCTCAATTCTAGAAAGAAGTGCTGCTTTGTGATGTGACATTATCTGACATGAGATTAGCGAAGATCATTTTCTAAAGAAATGTTTTGGGTCTCCTCATTCCGGGCTTTCCAGTGCTATTCAGAAGGCCTTTGGAATGTGGCTTCAAAATCAATATTGTTCATATAGAATCAAGGAGTTGATACATTCAAGACTGCATCCTGTATGCACTTACCCAGGATCAGCACCGCTAAACAGAGTGGGTCTTTCCTCTGAGTAAATATGCAAAGGATCCTTTTATGTAAATTTTCTGGGAAAAGTTTTCATCCTAAGAGAAAGCAATAATAAACAAACTTAAATAGCATTGCTGGGTAATTTTAGAAATGTGACAAGTAGCATAATGTTATATGCCCAGCTATAAATGATGCATTTTATACTGTCAATTAAGTTGGATAAGCAAGTAAATACTGCATGCATTCCAATATTGGGGGGGAGGGCAGAACACAAGCTTGTGTGTGCATGTTTTTGTCCGTGGCATCAAAGTTGTCAAACATTTTACATCTGTAAGTGTATCTCCACAAATTGTGGGTGGATGTTTGTGCAAACAAGCCAGTTGATGGTCAGCCAGAAATAGTCAGCTCTTCTCTCCTAGAGTTTATATGCTGTCCGAGTTGCTACCTCAGAATCAACAAGCAAAAAAGGTACAAACACTGGACAGAAAGAAGAACAGTGTGAAGAGAATATCCAGTCAGTTCTACTGAATAGCATCTATTAATACAACCTGTCCAGAAATGCAATTTCCTAGCCAACGCCTCCCCCAGTAAATCATACACAAAATGTGGATAGTGGTCAGAGAGCTGGACTGAGACTTCAGATACTAGGTTCTATGCTCCATTTAGCTGTTAAACTCACTGGGTGGCATTGGGCCTGTCTTTAACCTAATTTATCTCACAGGGTTGCTGCGAGCATTGGCCAGGGAAGGGGTGTTTTGTGCTCTTTGAAGGTAAAACAAAGGGATATAAATGTTGTACTTATGTGTTTGTTACAAACTTTGAGTAACTGTGACTGACAAATGCAGATGCCAGTCCTCTTCAATACTTCAAGTGTGACTGATTTTAATATTTGTCTCTGTCTGAATCATCCCACCAAAAAAAACTGATATTTTGAGTACAAGAAGCGGATGTGCAGGTCCCGGTACAGCGTATCAAACACTTCAGTTCTCATAACCAAAGAAATCCTGTCTCAGGGAGATTACATGAAATTTCTCACAAAGAACACACCTCTCAAACTAGAATGGAAAAATACATATTTGAGGTCTGACTAACCAAGCTCATCGGGTCACTTGCCAAAATGGCTACTTCATCCATTCTTATTAACAAAGAGAATATTAATATATTCATATTTAAGGCAAAAGCTAAATCTACTACCAAAAGACTTAAAAAGCAAGTGACTACCTTCAAAGAGTAGTAGGTTAGTAGCTTTCTGTGCATCCCCAATCTTTGTTCCTGTAGTGAAACCTACAGGAGTTCCAGATTTAAAACTCACATCTTCTGCCCACATGTTAATTTTGGGTCATCCACTTTGTTTTTGTTTTCAAGTGCCTGTGCATTTACATTTGTGACAGATAAGGCTCTGCCTAAGTCTGGCTTCTGCTTTAAAACAACAGATACTCCCAGAGTCTGATCTGTTGGGCAAATGTTCACAAAGGGAAGCAAAGGCAGTTCTTACAGCCAACCAGCAAAATGATGGACTTTGGTATCCTGGGCTTCTGTGAAAGGAGTGCTTAAATTTACATGCATGCAACAAAACAAATACTTCCTACTTTGCAACTTTCTCAATGTAGCTCCTCTTATATCACATTCTGAAAAGTGAGCAACCTAGGATGTGTGACGCTTCAAAGTTATAACACTAGAAAGCACAATACATGCAACCTGATTGTGTATTGCTTGGCACTTCTCCCTTTAAAACAGAGGCTCTACACTGGCAGGCCAAAATATTTGGAGGACCACAACTCCCATCAGCCCTAGCTAACATAGGCAATTGTGAGGAACCATGGAAGTTAAGATGCTTTGGCCTACAAGTGGCCCACCCTTGGTTTAAAATGTAGGCAAACAGGTAAAAGGGTTCCTTTCCCCAATACCTCTTACCTGCATTTTAAAGGGACACGCAGAAGACAACATGCTTGACACACAACGCAAGCTGCGTTGTTTTCTGCCAGAGAACATCAGCACCTTTCAACTGGCCCCCTGCTGAAAAAGTTGAGGACCCTTGTTCTAAGGTTTTCCAGGAATCTTTGCTCAGACACTTTGTCAAAAGACTTTTGGAAATCCAAGTGAACAATGTCCCCTGGATCTTCCCCTGCCCACATATTCATGCACACTCTCAAACTTAAGAAATTGGTGAGCTAGGGCTTACATTTGTGGAAGCTATGTAGATGCTTTTTCAGCAGGGCTTGTCCTTTTACATGCTTACTAATTTTATCTTTAATAACACTCTTGGACCTCTCTGCAGTCCAGCCTAATAATTTGTGACTTAACCACTCCATGAGACTCCACTGTTTACCCCCCCCCATTAGGAAAATTTACCATTTATTACTTTCTCTGCTTTCTTGTCCTCAGCCAGAGCATCCTAAATGCAGGCTAGTGCATAGAGCAGCTTCTTCCAGCCACATTTGCAATAATTCTGAAATGCCAGGCTGAATGAACTACTGACTCCTGGTTTGGGGGGAACACCCCAGCAAAAAACTACCTCCTTGCTTCTGAGCCTTCCATGCTCCCAGTCCTAATCATAAGAAGGTATGCCTGGCACCATCCTTGCTTTCTTTTCAGCACTTAGAAACATAGAAACAGAGCGAGTCAGAAGGGGTCTCCCAGGCCATCTAGTCTGACCCCCGGCTCCAGCCGGCTCTGCTCACGACATGCCCACCATGTGCATGTCTAGCCTATCCTAGAACACCCGCACCAATGGGCCTCAATGACCCCTCGTGGAAGCCCATGCCACACCCTTGGGGTCCTAACTGTCAGGAAGTGCTTCCTAACACTTTTATTATCTACTGCTGTGCCAGAAGGTTAACTTCTTAAACTGTGGTGTTCTTGTCCCCTTATGTTGTTGTATCGTTGTGTTATTTGTGAATACTTATTGAATGCATATATAATTTTAATAATTGTAAACCACCTGTGAGCCTGTGTCCTATGAGACAGTATATAAATGCAATAAGTAAATAAGAATATGAATACATCATGCTGAGCAATTCCACATAATCCAGTGACTAGAAGGGCTGGAGAGAGCAGGGTTCAAGTTTTCCCCTTGCCATGAAGCTGATTGGGTAACTTTGGGCCAATCACTGCCTCACAACTATCATGACTGTTGCGAGGATAGGAGAGAAGGATCACTATCTTGGTCTCCTTGGAGGAAAAGGTGGGTTAGAGCGTTAATCATGTGTGCGTGACGTGGGTCCAATAAAATGTCTCCAAAAGAAACGGGAAGATTACCCAACAAAAGGCAGGAATTCCAAATGAAGCCCATCCAATGCTAAATATAGAACCATACACTAAGTTTCTGACTATTTGCTGCCCTGAAATAGCACCTTGACTAAAAACCAGCCGCCTCACAGCCTGACGACTAGGAGGCAGCGGCAAAGGGTGCCCCACCGAAGGGCCGAGCAGGCAAAATCGTGCACGCACGTCTCACGGCGGCGGCAACCCTTTCCTCCTGGTGCCGTTAGACTCCCGCAGGAAATTCGGGCCAAGCAAGGCAAGCTACCCGCGGACTCGCAGTCCGGCATCAGAGTTTCCCCTGCCACCTTTGCACCATCCACCACTCCCTCGAAGTGGGGGTAAGACGACGCTTCGGCGGTGGCGAGGCGGGAGGAGGAAATGCAGGCACAGCCTTTCCCACGCAGATGCCAAATCATGGCACAGAGCGGGAGAAGGGCGTCTGCATCCAGCGCCTTCTCCCCCAAATGCATTTTGAAGCGTTCAGGTAAAGCCCACCGCATGTCCAGCTCTGCCTTCAGGTTTGCGGGTTCGCTTCAAAGCTCGGGGCCGCCCAGCAGCCTGCAGAACTTGGAAGGGGTCAGATCAACGCTGCGCCTCTCCACCCTCTTTCTCTCAGGGCCAACGGCGGGGGTTTTGGCTGGACAGAAGCGGCATCGCCAGTCGGCTGCTCGCGAAGCGCGTGGGAAAGCCATAGGGGCATCGCGCCCTCAGCAAGCGCCACGGGAGAGAGGCGCTTCCAGAGGAAAAGACAGAAGCGGAAAACTTACCCTACAGGGCTGATCTACCAGCTCACACAAAGCAAGAACGCAGCTCCCGCGCAGCCACTGGACTGACTTCACTTCCTCCGAGCCGCTCTACTGCTGCTCGCTCCGCCCCTCCTGTGGCAACAAAGCCCTCCTCTTAAAGAGTACAGAGGGCATCCTGAGCAGCTCGGATTTTCCCCCGTGTAAGGAATTGCGAATTATGCAAAAGAAGAAAACACGGAAACGCGCCAAGTTGCAAGCTGAGATTATTCAGCAGTTGCAAGCTGGGATTCCTTGCAAGCGTTTGTCACCGAGGTCGTGACAAACCGGGCTGGCCAAGGAAAAGATTCCAAACTCACATTAGTGCAACCGCTTTTACTAGACCTACCAAAATAAGTATGATTACTCTGAATTGTTAAGATTGTTGTTTAAGCTCTTGCTAAATTTTTCTTCGAGTATGTGTTTTATGTTCTGAAATGTTTGTAAAACACCTTGGGAAGTTTCCAAAAGGCGGTATACAGTAATGAAAGATCCCAGCGAAGGTGCAGCCTTTCCTCTGCTTTGCTAGGAATGGAAACACATATGAATGAGGGATGGATTTTATATTTCCAAAAAATAGAAAACCCGACATGTTTCCCTTTCTGCTTCTCAGAAACCCTGGGCCAGCGCCATCTTGTGTAACCTGCAGAGCCTAATTTGAAAGCCTAACCTTCTTCCCGCCACTTCACCTGGAATCTCCGAATGTGCGGATAGCGTCGCTTCACTATCAACTCTGATTTTTTCCCCTTCTTTATTTCTCTGCTCCACCCAAACCTACTTCTGTGACTTGGCTGCTTAAGGTATCTGGAGATACCAAAAGTTTGCATACTTTGTTTAGTTAAATGTATCTTAGAATGCATTGCTATCCATGTCTGTTCAGAAATAAGCTCCCATGAGTTTACTCCAAAGTACAAAAGTTAGCAGTCTAAGGGTGCCATGTTATGCATGCTTAGACAGCATAACTGTGCTGGCTGGAGCATGCTGGGAATTTTGGACTCTTTTTCTGTCTAAATCATGCATAGCATTGTATCTTTAGGTGCTTAATGGTATGAGTTTTAATTTACTGGTGAGAACATGCCGTATCCAGAGGCTTATCTAGTCCTAGATTCTGCTTGCTTGCACAGTGGACAACCAGAAAGCCCTCAAGGAGGCTATGAGTGGAAATGTGCTGGCCGTGTTCCCAGAAATCAACACACTGCCCCTAACACTGGAGGTTCTATATAGTCATCATGACTAATAGCCACTGAATATTGCCACAAATTTGTGCAGTGCTTATTCCAGCCATCCAAAATGGTTGCCATCCTTAGGTCTTGTGGTAGAAAATTCCAGAGATTACTGTACTGTGTGAAGAAATATTTTGTCTGTCTAGAGTCTCCTGCATTCTAGAAATAGGAGAGAGAAAAATTTTTACCCTGTACACTTTCACCATCTTATGCAGGTGGTGAACAATCATGTGTAACACTGGTAAGTTCTGTGGAGCTGTTTGCTTATTAATAAACATTGCAACACAACCTTACATACAAAATCAACCTCTTCTCAACAAATAAATAACAAAGCGTCATGAACAGTTATAATCAAACTACTACAACCTGTGCACCCAAGACCCTGGCAACAGCAGCAATACAAAAAACAAAACCCGGGGGGTACAGCCCAAGCATCCGTTTGAATCCAAACTTAAGCAAAAGAATCTAAAATGGATTCGTCAACTGGTCTGAGTTTCCACAACACAGAAAAGTAAGGTGCATGTGCAGTATCTTCAAAACCCTGGGATTAAATGCCAGTGCAACTGTATATATGTGAATTCACTATATGGATTCACCCTCCAACACAGTAATTATATCTAGACCAATTCAACAGAGGACTTAGTGGCAACCGCAGCTCCTGCCTCTTCAGCTTTCTCACTCTTTTTTATTCAAATTTCTTACAGCCCAGCTCTGTCTTAGTCCCACCCCTTTAGGCTGTACCAATGATTCATAGAGGTTACACATGCATAATTTTAAACACTTCCATCATATTCCCCTAGCTTTTTTCTAAGTTAAAAGCCGCAGACGTTAACCTTCATTTTAGGGAAGCTGCTCTACCACTTATTTGTTTGGGTTGTCCTTTTCTAAACCCTTTGCACCCTATAGTATCCTTTCTGAGGGGAATCAGCATGGATAGGATAAAACAACATTTCAAGGGCACCATGGCAGCATTATTCCTGTGGGTGTTGTGCAGAGGTCCCAGCCTTTGGGGGTAAGTGTTTTGAAACAGTATCATGGGATGTCGTCACAAGATACCTGCTGAAGGGGCTTGTGTCTTCACAAAATGGCTGTTACAGTGGGTTTGGCCAGTTGCAAAACAAAAACCTTTCTCAGAAGGTAAACCAGTGGTACTCAAAGAAAACTAACTTGTTCATGAACTATATAGAAGGCAGAGAGAGGTTCTGTGCTCCACAGTTTCTCTTTGGAACACACTGTTTTCTGATTCAGTGCCCACTACAGAGAGGGCAGACTGGTGAGGCTCAGAGAAAAGTAACTTCACCAAGGAGCTGAGTGTAAGGCAGAAGCATGGCTTGATGATTCTGAAAAAAACACAAATGCACAGACAGGGGCATCACTTCCCCACAGAATGCAGAGCTCCTATGAGCCCCTGACATCTGTAGAAATAAAGATGGGGGCGGAGGCCAGCAATTCCTTTTGCAGTGTGGCAATTTCCCAGTTAAAAACACTTTAAAATATTAAAAAATCTGGAAGCACAGGAAGCAAAAATATAGACCAACAGGCTGTACACTAGAGCCCTCAGGTGTGGTGGTTAAAGATCAAACTAGGACACAAGAAACCCAATTTGAATTGCCACTCGGCCCAAAGCCCACTGGGTGAACATTGCCACCTAGTAGCCTAACCTACTTCCAGGGTTCTTGTTGGCTGGGAGAACTTACACATACTGCCTTGACAGCAGGATATAACCATCATGCATGGAAATGGGTTTCAAATAGGCTGTAAGGTCCCATTTGTTTCCATCTGCTTTCTCTGAACAGACATTGGGTGCTGCTGCTTTACATCAGTTTTATCAAAGCTGAAAATTGGTTTACCATTTGTATGTTTAAGATCTGTGTTAGGCTTCTTCTACTTCGACTTTTTGGGTAGTAGGATATTTGCTACTTTCCCTTGGGCGTAGAAAGGCTTGGGCTGGTCCTTTTGCAGCAGTTTGTCAGGCCAGTTGTTAATGGCCCAGAATGACTGGAGATTTCTTTTTCAGTGGGATCTAGGAAATGGTTGGGGGTCTTTTTGAGTATTTTGAATGGAAGAGGCCATGCCACAATAGAGAAGAGACTGTATTTTCTTCCTACCCAGGGAGTGGAGGAATGCAGTAGAGAAAGCTTATGGTTGCAGGGCAGACTCTGTGGGGTGTCCAACTCTAGAGTCCAGTCCAATACTATTTATATTTACAGAGGCATACAGTCCATAGACCTGAATAGTATTGCAGATAGAATGACACGCAGGAAGTTACATAGCATAAACAGACGCTTGCTTAATACAGTGAAAAACCTTATTCAACCCCAACATCCAGAGTTTTTCTTCTTCTTTTTCCTTGGACAAGAAACAACCTCACTGCAGGTCAATATTAAGAATATTGCCTTAGAGCTGTTGAATAACCCTATGAACAAACTAGTTAATTTAGCTACATTCGTATGAAGCCTGAAGTACCTAAGCAAGTTTCACCAGACATACCTTTCATCTAGGTGCCTATGGGGCATCTGAACCACCTACAAACAACTGGGAGTACAAAAAAGTCCAGGTTTTGTTGTTTAAACCAGTGGGCTGTAACGATAACATAAATTACTGTTGAGCACTAGAGAGACAGGTAACAATAAAAAACATTTTAAGACAAAAAATAAACCATCTGCCACCCTAGACAAAGTGAAACAAAACACTCAGCAAAATGTAACCAACTATGTGTGACCTGGTAGGTTTCATAGCTCTGTTTATGGAAGGATGCATATGTTTCTCTAATGGCGTGAATTAAGACTAAGACTATTTCCTAACACCAAAAGTGTCAGGAGAAAATGGTGAAAGCTGACATTACTGGGGAAGAAGAATCCTGTAATATTACTTGGTGTAACCTATAGGGCATTTGATGCTCTCTTAATTATCCCCAAAATAGAGTTCAGCTCTGTTATTCACCCATCATGTAGATGGGAGACTAAGTGCTAAAGAATTAACAGCTTGCCTAAGCCCACCTGCTGAGTTCATGGCAGAGAAGATTGAAGCAGTGGTCCTGAGTCCATTCACACTCACCTGGGAGTAAGCCTAGGTGCTGCACATCACCAGATCCCTGAGCACGATGATGATAGTAGCTAAGCTAAAGAAGGAAGTTTACAGAATTCCCTTAAATTGTGTGGGGAGTAAGACCAAGCTGCCTTCTACAACTGAGCACTGGGCTCGGCTGCTTTAGCAAATACTTTCAAAACATGGGTAGGATTTTTGTTGTTGCACGGGTGAGCTATGACACCCTGGGAATCCTCTGTCTCATATTACAGCAGTTAACACAAGACAGTTTGAGAGCCAAGAGGTACTTTCCTTGCTGACTCAGTGCTGCACGAAGGAGCATGTGATTTACTGTGGTGTCTTTCAGGGCTGCCTCACATGTAAGCAAGAAGGTGCTTCTGGGTGGTTCCTCCTTTGTCTGGAAGGACTCAGTGGTAGTTACCACCTTTTCTCCAAGGACACAGCTAGCAGGATATGTGAGATGCATCCCTTAAGGAAGTAAAGGCAGGAGCAGAAAATAAGGACAGGTAAAGGCCTCTGAGTGAGAGACTGAAGGAGACACATGCTAGAAAGGAAACCCCCTTTCTAAGGAAGACATGCTGCTTAAAATTGACCCTAGCCATTGAATAGTGTGACAAAACCCAGGAAGCTGTTTATTTAAAGACAGATTTCTGAAGAAACAGTTTCCTCTTCTCTGTGATGACAGTTCTGCAAACGACCTACCCTTTCCATGCAAGAAACATTTGAAAAAATTGTGCTATGATGTACAGAAATGCAAGTCACTACATCGCT